ATAATATTATAATAGGTTTCACATAGCTAAGGTTAACTATATAGATAATGGGAACTAAATTTTAGTTCATTTGGATGTCATGTCAGCTCTCCTATAATGCAAATTCCTTATTACTAACGTAAGCTATAAAGAATTTTGGTTTAACAACCCTGCGTTAAAGTTGCTCTTAGGTGATTTATTTTTCCAGAGTTCATACGGGGCTTTGTTTAAAAAAAATTGAATGGAAACTCGATTTAAGACATAGCAAGATGTGTAGGCTTCAGCCCAAAAATAATTTTCCACTTGTGATTCATTCAACATGGTTCTTGCCATTTCCTGAAATGTCCTATTTTTTATTTCTACTACACCATTTTTTGGGGTGCTCTAGGGCATGGAAAATTGTGAGATATCCCATTTTCATCTAAAAAAATGTTTGAAGGATACGTTTTCAAATTCACATCCGTTGTCACTTCTTGCGGCTATGCTATTTTAATTTTTTTTTTTCGTTTTGAAACTTTTTACAAAATGTTTTGAAAGCCCCAAAGAAATCATCCTTAGTTTTTAAGAATAATACACTTGTGAATCTGGAAAAATCGTCGACAATAACAAATCCATACCTTTTACCACTTAGACTAACTATTTTGACACGTCCAAACAAGTCTATGTGAAGAAGCTTAAGTGGTTTGTTAGTTGATATAATATTTTTTGAGTGAAAACTACTTTTGACGTATTTCCCTTTAATTCATGCTTCAAGGATTGCATATTTGTTAAAAAATATTTTGGGAAGACCTCTGACTAAGTCAAGTTTAAATATATTTGAAGTAGTTTTCATACTTATATGACCAACCCATCTGTTCCATGCCCATTTTTCCTTGTCAATGGATATAAAACATAATTCAGATGTAATATCATCTAAGTATAAAGTATAAAAATTCTTTTTCCTAAATCCATAGAAAAGAATTTTATCTGGAAATGATTTATTTATTATGCATAAGTTTTGTTTAAAAGTAACTTCATAGCAATTGTCACATAACTAACTTATACTTAGTAGGTTGTGTTTCAATCCTTCCACAAATTAAACATCTTTAATAAGAGTGAACAATTCTTACCTGTGGTTCCTATAACTTTTGTTTTGACCTTTTCATTGTTTCCAAAAGTTACTGATCCTCCATCTTTGTCTCTTAGTGAGGCAAAACATTTTTTTATCTCCTGTCATATGTCTCGAGTATCCATTGTCCAAGTATCATGGCTTTTTCTTGACTGATAGAAGACATTCTTGCATTATATGTTAGAATATTTTTAGGTACCGATAAGGTTTTGGGTCCTTGGTGGTTTTTTTTAGAAAGCATTTCTCTTCTGAGTGGCATGTCTTCTTACAAAATAAACATTATTTTTCCTTCTTATAAGGAGCAAAAAACATTTCATAAGTCTTTTGACTTTTTGAAGATTTGAATCGTATTCCAACTTTATCAAATATTCATGAGTGTGAGCCCATGATTTTCTGAAACGTTACAGTTGATTTGACAAATTTGGGGATATCATGAGTTAGGTCCTCTACATGATTTTTAAGGTGTTTGATTTCTTTTTCTGTTTGAATTAGCATTTCACTACTAGGTTGTTTTAATTTTTGGTTTAAATCTTTCTGGCGTGTGGAAAGAGATAAGTGTGCATTGTGTAGATTTTTAATATTGTTTAGATGTCTTTCGTTTATTTTCTCAAGTTCTTCCTTTTCATTTCTTAAGTTCAAAACTTGCACTCTTTTAAAAAAAACATTTTTGAGTTAGAAGTTTTGAATCCTATAGAAGATACACTATTTTCATAGTTCTGCAAGATTTAGAAGAGTTAGAAACATTTACCTCTTAACTATCTAAATTTGCCATTAGACATATATTGGCTTCTTCTTCCTTAACTTTTGAATTTGAATTATCTGAATCGTCTCATGAGGCCATCATACACTTCTTCTTAAATGAAGGTCTTTTGCTTGGGCTTTTGAGCTGAGGACATTTAATTTTGAAATGTCCTATTTTATTGCATCCATAACAAGTGATTTTGCTTTTGTCTACTTCAGCTCTCTGATGATATCTCCTGTTTTGAAATGGTTTTCTATTCTAACTTCTTTTAAACAGCATATGTTAGATCCTCCGAGATATTAATGCTAGATCATCCTCATCCTCAAAGAGAGGTTTTGCTAGCTCCTCATTTTTCCGTTTATTGCTTTGTGGGGAGCTGATTTCATTTTGAATATTTGTGTTTTGAGTTTCTTTGAGAGAAATCATTTTTCTCTTCTTCTGTGGTTTGTCCTCCATGATTAGTCCCTCATAAGCGCAAAGTGATCTAATGAGTTCTTCCACCTTATTTTCTTTCAGGTTCTTTGCTTGTATGATGGCGGTGATCATTAGCCTCCAAATTTTAGGAAGGCTTCTCACAATTTTTCTTGCTTTTTTATGAGTTGTGTAGGTCTTACCAATGGACCTAAGCTCATTTAAAATGATAGTTAGTTTTTAAAACATTTCATCTATTGTTTCATTTTCTTTTGTTTCAAAAATTTCTAATTTTCTTACTCCCATGTCGATCATTTGTTCTTTGACATGGCTTGTTCTTTCATTATGAATCTTGATTACGTCCTGGATTTCGTTTGCAATGTTGAATTCTCTATTCAATTATATTCTTCCCTACTTAATGCATAAGATACAATGAATTGAGCTTTAGAGTTTAGAAGTACCTTTAGTTTGATTGTAGTTTGGGGACTGCGGAAGATGTTTCTGTTGGAGTGGTCATTGACACGAAGTTTCTTGTTTCAACAACTTACCACATATTGATATCTTGAGATAGTAGGAACGATCTCATCTTCCTTTCCAGTAATAGTAGTTTGAGTCGTTGAAGAAAATGGGTCTATGTGACAATCCTCTTTTAGCTATAAACTTGGTTTGGCCATACATTTCTTTTAGGATTATTTTTCTCTAACACGATTAAGTGCTTTAAAGTTCAGAGTCTGACGCTCTAATACCAATTGAAGTAATTAGAAATGTCACTAGAGAGAGAGAGAGAGAGAGAGATTTTGATTCTTTTTGTTTTTATCTTCTTTCTAAATGGTTTTTAAGGGATAATTTGAGAAGAAGTAATTATCTCTTTTTATAGAAAGAGCAAAGATGACTTTTTATGTCCCCAATATTTTTGCCTATGATTTTCGATTCATATTACAAAAATGACATAAGGGAGTTTTGGATCTTGAGAGGATATTTTGCTATCTTGGAACTTATTCTTATAAAAAGTTGATCTCATATTTTTATTAGTGACAAGTCTTGTCATGCAGGTTGTAATGAAAAGGCGCACATGCCTTAAATATTTGAATCAAACTTTGCCTTCGATATGTGAGTCCTCGCGAGTGCTTATGTTTGTTGAGATGGAACCATGCCTTTAAGAAATGGGCCTTGAGTCTTTGTTGAATCTTGATATCCTATTTTGACTTTAAAAAAAGAATACTTGCACATGATATTAGATAGTATTTTTAAGTTTGCAAATGAGCAGAGACCTTAGTAGTTTTATAACGGTTAGGGTTTGTCTACAGCGGCGATAGACACTAATCAGTGGTTTTTATAATGGTGAGAGAGGGACAACTCACGTGAGGTGAGAGACTCTGTGTTTATGCGTTATGTGAGTTAAGTTATGATTTGTCCTTTATCTGCTATAGAAGGTGTTTATAGAGATACTTGGGCATAAGGTTCAAGGAGATCTCAAGAAGCGGTAACATCTCCCTCTTGACTTGAGGAAACTATTGACCACATATTTCTTCAAGAGTCGTGGCACGCGTCTGCATATTCAATCAATGACTGGATAACGCTACTATCCACATCTTATCTCTGGACAAGCAATGTATCACATAAAAGTCACGCCTCAGAAGAACTCTTCATGGGACGACACCCTATCGAAAGAGCATGTGTCGCCTTATTAGAGGACATTCACAAATATATCGTTAACAATTAAAAGTTTTAACAAATAATCTTTTTTAATTTTTTATAAAAATATTAACTTATTATTGAATATTTATTCAACTAATTTATTAATAATATAAATATAATTACAATTAAATAAACAATAAAATATATTTAATAATTAAAAAAATGGGAGGGGGGTCCACCAATCCTATCGACAGGTGCATTCATATTTTTATAGGGACAATGAAAGTGTCGGCTCAATCTACCTAATTTTTTCTGTTTAAAATAGGTTTAATTGAAAATTTTGAGAAGAATAAAGTGTATTTTAAAAATATAGAAGTAAATGTATTGTATAAGAACAAATTCTACTAAATGCCTCCAAAAATATCCACCGATTTTTGTGAAAGTCTAAAAGGAAAAGAAAAAAAAAGGAAAAAAATTTATAACAAAAAAGGAATGGTTTGATAGTTATCAAAAACTTTGATATGACTATACATACATTATTACAATCATATACTATACATGATTAGATATTTGATATTTATCAAGACACGTGTCCTCCATCTAACAAATGTGTTTGTCTCACACGCGCTTAAATCAAATGGAACTCATAAAACCACGATACCTAACTAAAAATATGTGCATTTCCCGCGAAGTCTCAAAAAAATATCTTCATTTTCTTATAATAAAAAAATCAAAATTAAAATATCTTGTTCTTTTTATAAATAAAAAATTAAAATTAAAATATCTTACTCTTATGACGTGGTGAGAAAGAATTTACTCAGAGATATTTTCGAACAAAATATCTCTCTACTAACCATGTTTCATAATGTTGACCCTTTCTTCTTTCAATCCAGCCTTCATATTTCAACTAATTTCAAAAATGCCATCCTTCTAATTGCAGTGTAATTTACACACATACCCTTTCGTAAATTATTATTTTAATAAGGGTATTTCCGTCATGAAATTTCAAACATTCTTCCTTATTATATACTCCTAGTTTTGAGTTATTGTCAGAAAAAAAAACAGAACAAGTTTGTTTTTTCAGACATTGTAGAGAGAGAGAGAGAGAGATTGAAGAGAGAGATGGCTATGGCAAGAGATAAAGAAGATGAAGAAGAGGTACAGAATCAAAATCAAAAGGGTGGGAAGAGGTTGAAATGCATGAACATGATGAAGAATGAACAAGAAAACCAAGTTGTTGATGAAGAAGATGAAAGCGAACTTCCATTGAAACCAGAGTTTTTCTGCTACCCAACAACTCCAACTTCCTTTGTTGTTTCAGATGCACTTGAATCTGATTTTCCAATCATTTATGTCAACAAAGTGTTTGAAATTTCAACTGGGTATCGTGCTCATGAAGCCCTTGGTCGTAACTGGTAAGATTTTGGGGTTTAACTTTTTTTGTGGATTTATGATTTGAATTTATGTAAAGCTTGTTAATTTTCATGGTTTAATTTTGACCCACTTTCCTTAAACAGTGAAAATGATTCTATTCTTTCAGATCTAGACTTAGTTGAGATTTGTGCAAACCACATTTTCATGGAATCAATTATTTCTAAATTTGAGATTTGTGCTTGTGAATTAGTTAACTACTTGTGAAAAAGATCTTGTTTTGAAGATATTTGATACTTTTCATTCCTTTATGACTAGATATTTCTTTTAGAATATTTTGACTAGCTTCACTTTTGAAAAAATATTCCTCTAATTGCTTTGAAATTTTTGTTTTTACAGCCGGTTCTTACAGTATAGAGATCCTCGAGCTCAGCGGCGGCATCCTTTGGTGGATCCGGTTGTGGTGTCGGAGATTAGGAGATGTCTTGAGGAAGGTATTGAGTTCCAAGGTGAACTTCTGAATTTCAGGAAGGATGGTACTCCTTTGGTGAACAGACTCAGGCTTACACCTATTCATGATGACGATGGAATTGTGACACACGTGATTGGTATTCAAATCTATTCGGAGGCGAACATTGATCTTAACCATGTTTCGTATCCGGTTTATAGAGAGACTTGCATTCAAGATTTTGATAAAAATAGTAAATATTCTCCCAAGAGTGGAAGATTGTTGTACAGTCCGCAGCAGCATCAGCGGCGGGAGATGTGTGGCATTCTTCAGCTTTCTGATGAAGTCTTGGCGCATAATATTTTATCGCGGTTGACACCAAGGGATGTTGCGTCGATTGGTTCTGTTTGCAGGAGGATCCGTCAACTGACAAAGAACGAGCATGTTAGAAAGATGGTTTGTCAAAATGCATGGGGAAAAGAAGTGACGGGTACATTGGAACTGATGACCAAGAAGTTAGGATGGGGTCGTCTATCTCGAGAGCTTACTACTCTCGAGGCAGTTTGCTGGAAGAAAGTGACAGTTGGAGGCGCAGTCGAGCCGTCCCGCTGCAATTTCAGCACTTGTGCTGCAGGAAATAGGCTTGTATTGTTCGGAGGAGAAGGAGTTGATATGCAGCCTATGGATGATACTTTTGTTCTAAACCTCGACGCTAAAAATCCAGCATGGGAAAGGGTTATCGTGAAAGCATCCCCGCCGGGACGGTGGGGTCACACGCTATCTTGCTTAAATAGTTCTTGGCTAGTGGTTTTCGGTGGATGCGGTAGACAAGGTTTGCTCAATGATGTGTTTGTGCTTGACTTGGATGCTCAACAACCAACATGGAAGGAGGTCTTCGGTGGAGCACCACCTCTTCCGAGATCATGGCACAGTTCTTGCACAATTGAAGGTTCCAAATTGGTGGTCTCGGGCGGCTGCACGGATGCCGGAGTGCTTCTTAGGGACACGTATTTACTTGATCTAACAATAGACAATCCTACATGGAGAGAAATTCCAACTCTATGGACTCCGCCTTCTAGGTTAGGACACTCGCTCTCGGTCTATGGTAGGACAAGGATTCTCATGTTTGGTGGACTTGCTAAGAGTGGACACTTAAGGTTAAGATCAGGTGATGCTTATACAATTGATTTAGAAGCTGAACAGCCGCAATGGAGGCAACTAGAATGTAGTTCATTCACTGGTTTAGCGAATCAAAACGCGGTTGTACCTCCTCCTAGACTAGATCATGTTGCTGTAAGCATGCCTTGTGGGAGGGTCATTATATTTGGGGGTTCCATCGCAGGTCTTCACTCGCCGTCTCAGCTATTTCTATTGGACCCTGCAGAAGAGAAACCATCATGGAGGATCCTCAATGTTCCGGGGCAACCACCTAAGTTTGCTTGGGGTCATAGCACTTGTGTGGTTGGAGGGACTAGGGTTTTGGTGTTGGGTGGACATACCGGAGAGGAATGGGTACTCAACGAGTTGCACGAGTTATGCCTGGCAAGTCGGCAGGACTCCGACATGTAATGAGTGATGATCCCTTGTCAAAAGAACAACCGAACTAGTTCCTCTACGGTCAATCTATTCGAATCTTGACCGTTGGATTGAGCTGCAACCCAAATCTAACGATCGAGATTTGGTTGATCTAGCTACAAAGGATCTAGTTTGAAGCCAAACCCTATCACTTCTCTCAAGACAAGTTTTTGGTCACAAACGAAAGGTTTTTCTTCTGCCTTTAGCAATTTGGTTTTGTTTATAAAACTATTGTATCATTGTTATATGATGATATTTGTATTATGAGGATATTTACCAAGGTTTTTATTTGATTTATGGCTCTATGAAACCTTGTATAGTTGTATGTGATCGTTTGGATGTTGTATTGTATCATCCCTCCTTTTACAAATATTATATGATAGAATTCTTTTATTATTAATTTTTTATACATATGAGCAATCTAACTTAAACACGCTCTTAAATGTGCATTAATCACAAAAAAACAAATTAGTGTGATGAGAAACTTATGACATATACAGTGACAATAGTTTCAAGAAAACACAACTTGTTTCATAATAAGTGTGGTTTGAGTTAATACACGCCTTTAAGATGGATTACCTGTGTTGACTTTTATGACATATATAGTGACAATAGTTTTAAGAAAACACAACTTGTTTCGTAAAATGATGTATAGTATATTCTTTGAATAAAATATTTCGTAAAATATTTAAAAAAATCATTCTTTAAAAAAAATATTTTGAAAAATTAAAAACAAAATTTAATGTATTTAAGAGCATCATGAATATATTTAACCTTTCTTTTTTTTATATATGGTCCTCTATAAATTTTGGTAATTATGTTTTTGGTTGTAAAATATCCATTGTCTTTGCCGATTCTTAGCTGAAAAATATGACTGGTCACTTTTAGTGAAATTTCTCATTCAAGTCACGTTTTTCTTTTCCTTTAACAAAATTCAAGCTCAAGACTAAGCTAGATCCAATTATTAACAGTGGTAAAAAGTAAGATAGAGTCTAATATTTCCAAGGTTAACATTGTCGTGATAGAAGGATGGATGAAATCTAATTATAATCAATCTCTTTATTGTGAGTACTTATCTGTTACTAGATGAGTCTTGAATTTTATTTTTTCACTATTGGTTTTTTCTTGAACACCTACCTATAATTAATGACTTTTTTTTTTATAGAAAGTTGAACACGTTTTCATGTTTGATTTTTTTCAAGGATTCCATCGCATCTACCATTGCATCCATTCACTTATCTTTTTTCGAACTCTATCTCATCTACCATTTCACTCATTCACTTATCTTTCTCCTAATTAGTTGAAGCTTCTCGAAAAGTAGAAAGGTCTCTGATCTGACCTGATCAGAAGGGGATCACGGGCTGGCCACACGCTGTTGGACTGCTACCTGTTCACCGGTGATGAGGAGGAGAAGGGGGGTGTACCTGCAAAACACTCTGATGCCAAAGTAAGGAGTTGGGCAGAGTGAGAGCAAAGTACAGAAAATGGGTAAGAAGTGAATTACCTGACCCTCTTGAGGAAGAGGGTATTTATATAGAGACCCCAGCGCTGGGCCAACGGTCACTTGTGTTGGGCTGGATGGTCAGGCCCAACCCAGGTGACTGCTAGGGCTTACGTGGCGTAGTGAAGACCAGGATGTGGTCTTCGCCCTAGTCCAACTGTCCCGTAATCTCCGGAAAGTGGGTTTGACCTGCTCTTTCGGAGGTGGGCAGTTAGTTGGTGACGTGTTCCCGCGGAGGGGAGCACATGGAGAACGTGTGAAGGACACGTTGTCCTGCCCGACAGTGAGAAGGTCCTGCCCGCGGAGGGTAAGATCCTGCCCGTGGAGGGGGAGAAGGTCCTACCCGCGGAGGGGGAGAAGGTCATGCCCGCAGAGGGTAAGGTCCTGCCCGTGGAGGGGGAGAAGGTCCTGCCCGTGGAGGGGGAGAAGGTCCTGCCCGCGGAGGGGGAGAAGGTCTTGTCCGCAGAGGGGGAGATCCTGCCCGTGGAGGGGGAGAAGGTCCTGCCCGCAGAGGGTAAGGTCCTGCCCGCGGAGGGGCAGAAGGTCCTGCCCGCGGAGGGTAAGATCCTGCCCGTGGAGGGGGAGAAGGTCCTGCTCGCGGAGGGGGAGAAGGTCCTGCCCGCAGAGGGTAAGGTCCTGCCCGCGGAGGGGAAAGGTTCTGCCCGACGGAGGGAAGGTTCTGCCCGACGGGGGCAGTGTTTGGCCGACGGAGAGAGGTTCTTCTCGACGGAGGGAAGGTTCTGCCCGACGGGGGCAGTGTCTGGTCGACGAGAAGTCTTGTGCTCGACACAGATGAGGAAGGTTCTGCCCGACGGGGGCAGTATCTGGTCGACGGGCAGTCTTGTGCTCGACACAGATGAGGATGGCTTCTTTGGGCCTTCTCCCAAGTGTATGTGAGATGGGCCTTTCCGGTCAGGCCGGGGCCCAGGCCAGAACAGGAGCCCCCTAAGTCGTAGCTCCGAGGCAAGGGAGCGAGGACTTGATAATGTTGCGCTCAGGCGGCCAAGGTCCTGCTCGACAGAGCTTCTGCTCGACGAAGGAGAGGACTAAGGAGAGGACATAGGCTGGCTGGTTGGCAGCCAAGGTCCTGCTCGACGAAGGAGAGGACAAAGGCTAGCTGATTGGCAGTCAAGGTCCTGCTCGACAGAGCTTCTGCCCGACGAAGGAGAGGGCAAGGGTTGGCTGGTTGGCAGCCAAGGTCCTGCTCGACAGCTAGGGGTTATGTCTGTTTATTGTAACATTTTGACTTCTGGGCTTGTGCCCGTATTATGGAATTCTTGTTTTCCTTTCTAAGTTTATGTGTGTGCATGATTGTTATGCTTTGATGTAAAAAAATTTAAGTAGGGGGTGTAGCTCGACTTCTTTGACCGGTAGTGCAGGGAACTAACCGGTTGACCGGTGTTGGTACCTGGTCGGAAGAAGGGGTTGGACCGCGGTTGTGGACTCGTTCCCCTGGCGTGAACGGCCCTTCGCGAGCTGGGTGTTCTGCCAATCTGGTACTACGGCGGCAACTCTCGGTCGAGGGGGTAGCCGTCGAGCAGAACGCTCTGCCCGCACACACAAGGGCACGCGTTTGCTATCTCGCTAAATTTGAGGAGATGCGGTCGTACCACGTCGCACTCCTGTGGTCGCGAGGATGGTTCTCGCGGGCAGTGTTTAACTGTAGTATATATTTTTTAGCTTCTCAGCGTTCCATGGTCGAGCTATATGGTCCCCGTGTAGGTTTTCGAGGTAGTAGGCCTCGTGCTTGGTCTTGTTTCGAACAGGGTAGGGGCCTTCCTAATTTACGGCAAGTTTGCCGTCGTGTGAGTCCTTTTGGGTTCTTCGCAAGGCTAAGTCGCCGATTTGGAAGTCGCAATTTAGGACTTTGCTATCATAGCGAAGGGTGATTTTTTGTCTCAGCATGGCCTCAACTAGTTGGCAGCCAGGGTCCTGCCCAACGGAGTCTTCTGCTCGACGAAGGGAGGACAAAGACTGGCTGGTTCGAAGCCATGGTCCTGCCCGACGGAGTCTTCTGCTCGACGAAGGGAGGACGAAGACCGGCTAGTAGGCAGCCAAGTTCCTACCCGACGGAGTCTTCTGCTCGATGAAGGAGAGGACAAAGACTGGCTGGTTGGCAGTCAGGATCTTGCCCGACGGAATCTTCTGCACGACGAAGGGAGGACAAAGACTGGCTGGTTGGCAACCAGGCTCCTGCCCGACGGAGTCTTCTGCTCGACGAAGGGAGGACGAAGGCCGGCTGGTAGGAAGCCAAGTTCCTGCCCGACGGAGTCTTCTTCTCGACGAAGGAGAGGACAAAGACTGGCTGGTTGGCAGCCACGGTCCTGCCTGACGGAGTCTTCTGCTCGACGAAGGGAGGACAAAGACTGGCTGGTTGGCAGCCAGGGTTCTGCCCGATGGAGTCTTCTGCTCGACGAAGGGAGGACGAAGGCCGGCTGGTAGGCAACCAAGCTCCTGCCCGACGGAGTCTTCTGCTCGACGAAGGAGAGGACAAATATTGGCTGGGTTGCAGCCATGGTCCTGCCCGACGGAGTCTTCTGCTCGACGAAGGGAGGACAAATATTGGTTGGGTTGCAGCCATGGTCCTACCCGACGGAGTCATCTGCTCGACAAAGGAGAGGACAAAGACTGGCTGGTTTGCAGCCAGGGTCCTGCCCGACGGAGTCTTCTGCTCGACGAAGGGAGGACAAAGAGTGGCTGGTTTGCAGCGAGAGTCCTTCCCGACGGAGTCTTCTGCTCGACGAAGGAGAGGACAAAGACGGGTTGGTTGGCAGCCAGGGTCCTGCCCGACAGAGTCTTCTGCTCGACGATGGGAGGACGAAGGCCGGCTGATAGGCAGCCAAGTTCCTGCCCGACGGAGTCTTCTGCTCGATAAAGGAGAGGACAAATATTGGTTGGGTTGCAGCCATGGTCCTGCCCGACGGAGTCTTCTGCTCGACGAAGGGAGGACAAATACTGGCTGGGTTGCAGCCATGGTTCTGCCCGACAGAGTCTTCTGCTCGACGAAGGGAGGACAAATACTGGCTGAGTTGCAGCCATGGTCCTGCCTGATGGAGTCTTCTGCTCGACGAAGGAGAGGACAAAGACTGGTTGGTTTGCAGCCAGGGTCCTGCTCGACGGAGTCTTCTGCTCGACAAAGGAGAGGACAAAGACTGGCTGGTTGATAGCCAGGGTCCTTCCCGACGGAGTCTTCTGCACGACGAAGGGAGGACGAGGGCCGGCTGGTAGGCTGCCATGTTCCTGCCCGACGGAGTCTTCTGCTCGATGAAGGAGAGGACAAATATTGGCTGGGTTGCAGCCATGGTCCTGCCCGACGGAGTTTTCTGCTCGACGAAGAGAGGACAAATACTGGATGGATTGCAGCCATGGTCCTGCCCGACGGAGTCTTCTGCTCGATGAAGGAGAGGACAAAGACTAGCTGGTTGGCAGCCAGGGTCCTGCCCGACGAAGTCTTCTGCTCGACGAAGGAAGGACGAAGGTCGGCTGGTAGGCA